CCGTAGTTATAATTGAGCCTATCGGTTGTGCTGTAGCCTTGGCTTATATTGCTTCGTTTTCTGTTCACTGGAAAACTGCTTGCCTTGTATTAACAGCGTAAGGCTGCTAGCGGTGTGTACCGCGCCCAAGAAATAACTCTCCGACTGTCAACTTTTCATCTACACCATGAAATACATTATGTGTACCAATGGCGAGATGTATATCCTACAAGAAACTCAGTACTTTTAAAGTATACTGTTGCATAATCTCAGAGCTTATTTGAGGACGACTTTGTCCACTTGTATTCTGAGGTACGGCTGGATAGAGCCTATATTGAACTCTAGCGAACTCCAACAAAAATGAAATTATCATTAAATTTCTGTTTACATCTCCTCTCTACTCTTCAACAGAAATTTCAGCATGCTGCATGCATTTTCCGTCCACCTTCGGATTCTTTTCGCACCCTAGCTCCGAGCACCTCGTGCCTCCACCATGAGCGTAGCAGAATCCTTTTGACTTGACATGCTTATCACATCCTTCACGCGAGCATTTCTTCGGCCCACCGTGTGCACTGCACAAGCCTCTCAGATACGATCTTTTATCACACCCTCGATGCATGCATTGAGCGCCTCCACCGTGGGTGTAACACATGCCAATAGATACAGCTCTGTTGTCACATCCTTCCTGGTCACACTTTGTACCTCCACCGTGTTCAAAACACTTTCCCCTTCCAAGTGCCTGCTTCACACACCCACGATGCGAGCACTGCGTTCCTCCACCATGGCCAACACACAAGCCGTGAGTATGAGCTCGCTTAGTACATCCATCAGCCGCACATTGTCGCGTCCCCCCGTGCTCAAAGCAAAGGCCATTCGAGTCGGCAACTCGTTCGCAGCCCAAATGACCGCATGGATCACACTTGCCATGAGTATAGCACAAGCCCTTGGTTACCGCTTGTTTTAAACACTCTTTAATCGAGCACGGCTTGCCTCCGCCATGTTCAAAACATACTCCATTCGCTCGAACTTGTTTTATACACCCTTCGTATGAGCATCGATTGCCGCCGCCGTGTTTAAAACACAATCCCTTCGATATAACTTGCTTGTGACAGCCTCTCTTGGAACATTTCTTCCCTCCACCATGGTCGATGCACTTGCCCTTTGACTGAGCATTCTTGGTGCAGCCCTTAAATGAACAGATGTTACCTCCTCCGTGGGCAACGCAAAGGCCTATTAGTCTCGCCAATTTGGTGCATTTTGGGTGGGTGCATCGATTCCCGCCGCTGTGAGGAACACATTTTCCCCTCACTTTGGCCTGCTTCGTGCAACCTTCTTCCGAGCACGTGTAGCCTC